GCAGAGCTGTGCTTAACACTTCTCCGTGTCTCCCTGTAGGGCAGCAGGTCAAACCTCAGCCCGGAACCCCCCCCCCAATCTGATCCAGTCTGCATGCGACACTGGGTGGCCAGAACATTACTGGGGGGGGGGAATCATAAATTTATGAGTAGCTTCCCTCAGGATTGTTCCTATGAGCACTTGCTCTCCTCAGTCTGCCAGCTGTGGTGCTGCTACACGCATTAAAACTGCACCATCTGCTGCTGCAGGGATGGCGGGGGAGGGGGCAATTATGGTACCCACCCACCCTGTCTAGCTCCCCGCAGTTTGTCTGCTTTGTCTGTGTTCCAGATCCTTATCCCCCCCTTCCAATCTCTGCAGACTGCCACTCATGTTCCAGCACAGAATCAGGGAACATAACGTATTTGCACACTGCCTGTGGTTCATGAAGACCCCCTGGAAGCATTCAATAAATGTGGGATCATTAGTGGCGTGCTGGATCCAGATGGACCTATAGGGCTCCTCACACCAACACACTCGACCGAAGTTCATCTCTGCAGGGCTTTGCGGGATGATGCCACGTCACCATCGGCGCCAAGTTCCAATAGTGGCAGACTCTGCTTTACATATTCATGACCTGTCATCTTATCATTCCGTGGTTCGAGCAGCACAGGTAATAAAGCCTCATATGATTCATATGAAACAAATTTTGGGGGGGGGGGTGTCAAATTTGTAATTTTAATATGTGGGTATGTGTCTGAACTGTACAGCACAAAATGTAGCGCCGTTTTTACTCCGAGGTCAAACTTAAACCTTCAGGGAGCTGCGGAGGAATTTGGAAGCCCAGGGCTTCTACGGGTGCAGGAGAGCTGCCCTAATGCATGTGGCCTCCCCACCTCACAGACCCTCCGAAATAGGGAAGGGCTTCCTACCACCTTCACGCGGCCAGCTGGACACCTCCCAGCCCATGGGCTTGTGGCAGATGGCCCAGGTCTCTCTTGCCTGGGCCCATCCGATTATCAGCCCCCCAGGCGGGACGAGCCCCATGCATGCGGTCACTGCCTTGGGCCTAATTAGATGGCCTCTCAACCTTTCACATCACACGGATCTATATACACGAGGCAAAGCCGCCGTACACAAGTCCAGCACTGGAAACTCGCTCTGGAGCCCAAGATCCAAATCGTGAAGTTCCACTTGCTTTCTCTGCTTCAGCCTGCCCTGATTGTTTCACGGTTTGGGGTCTAGCCTTGTCCCCGCAAGTTTTATGATATCATCCATCAGCATGATGGATGTCCGCCCCCAGTCTTCCTGGTGTTACTTCTCCAAGGACTGTGTGTGTGTGGGGGGGGACAGAGTTCTCTTGTAGTTTATTATCTTGGGAACAAATCAGATGACTGCCGAACACGCACACGCCCCCCCGGAGGATAACCTCTCCATTTATGAGCGCATGTGTGCCACCTGAATCTGAAACCAGCACAGAGACTAAAATGTATCGATTCAGAAGGGATATCGCTGGCCTACTGTTGCTGCCGGACCATCTGAGTTTTGGCATGATGCTGAACGAGGAGATCTTTTACCGTGTCAAACGAAAATCTTACAGTTTTGCTCCTTGGTTCAACAGAATCCATGCAGGGTCAGAGGCTGCTGGGGGGGGGGGGGACTGGGGCCAATTCCAGGCAGCATAGACTGAGGTCGTCAAAAATGTCCTCCTGGGATGAGTAAATCTTATCTTTTACCGAATCATGTAACAGGAGAACCCAGAGGAAATCCCACATGACAAAGCAAGAACATACAAGATTTAAACCCCCGATCCTGCAGATGTGGACTCTGTCGCTCTGGTTTGACTCCGCGCTGCTATTTCTTTTAGCCACTGTGGGTTTGGCCAGTGCCTCTATTTGAACTGCCGGGGTTACACAACATTCCCCAGTGAAGACGTCTTGTTCTTCCCCTCTGCCATTATCTACCGACAAAACCTCTATGTGAAACATCTGCATATATATATAGAGGCAAAACATAAACACAAACGTCTTCCAGGATCTTATCCATCATGGAGTGACGTGGAGCGTACGGCGGCAGATCCCTGGAAGCGTGGGGCACGGGGGGGGAATACCGTGCTTGTGATCTGTCCCACCACATCTGGCGCCAACATTTGTGTTGTGTCCAGAATTGCTCAAATCACGTCTTAGCCATTCTAACGCTTAGCCGCACGGTATCTCAGTCTCCTACATTCATGGACATATATAATCTCTGTTAATCCCCAGGAAAATTCAGCTTTAGTTTTGTATGCTATCATGGTACCTGCAAGGGAGTGCAACATCCATATAAATCACCCCAACTGGGTGACGTGAAGTTTCTGTCAATGAGAACCAGGCGCTGTAGGCATGTGGCTGCTGCTGTAATGTTTTATATGGACTAATTTTGATTTTTGACTAACTGACTCAAACAAACATTGTGAGTGTTTACCTAAATCCAGGCACGAACTACTTGGTCTGGTAATTGCAGACATGAAAATATATGTGTATGTACTTCTATCTAGGAAGTAGTGCTCTGCTTTGTCTTGGAAAACACTCTCCCTTTGACCTTAGTGCTATTGTTAACTCCAGTGTGTTAAGTGCAAATTAAGTACAAAGATTTGACCATGTCAGGTTACCCTCTACTCTGCCGTGGTTCAATCTAGTGGAACAATAGAGCACCGGCGACCCGTGATGCTACTGTACCAGTGTTCAAAGACACCCCTAAATGCCAAATCTCTTTGCGCTTTTGTCTTCAGGCTCTGCCACCTCTTGCTCGCCATCTGCTCCACCTTCCATTGACATTTTACACACGCTGGCTTCCCAGGATTAAACAGGACAGATGCATGTTAGGTTATACAGGAAGTGAAGAGCAAGACAACCATCTAATCTTCTCCGGGCAAAGGGAATAACAGTAATTAATCTGCCCCATTTCACTTTTCTGTCCCCCAGGAGTCATGTAAGGAAACGAGCCAGTTCTCCTTTTATGGTGACAGATAATCATATTTTATGTGCCACTTTTGTGGTGGTGGGTGGGTTATGCTTTAAAGTAGCAGGACTGATAAAAATACACACTCGCCGTGTGACCCTCCCGAAATGCACTTCATGCAAAGCATTTTGATATTTACATTAGAAGTTAAAGTTAGAGCTGTCACTGTGTGCAGAGGCGCTGAAATAAGGGATTCCTGGGATGAGAGCGGCCTGCGAGATAAGCTGGGGGGGTTTGGCGAGGCGGAGGGGGATCTAAATCTGCACTGAGCAGTGTTTTAAAGAGGGGGTTTATTTAATACTCAAGCTATTCTGTGGTGGGGTGGGGGGCGCAGAGGGACCTGGGACTGATCAATCTGTGCCATGCTGTATGTAGGCCTTAAGGGAGGCGCCAGTGACCTACACCACTGTAGGTCACCACTGTAGGTCACCACTGTTTCCCAACTTGGTCCTCGGGGTCCTACAGTTGGTCCATATTTTTGCTCCCTCCCAGCTCCCTTTTCAAACGGCGCTTTTGCACTGCATGGGGTACCGTGCTTTTGTTGCTTCCAGAAAGTACCAAAAGTACGGTATGTCAAGGTATTGGTTTTCCACTGGCGGGAAATCTGGTAGCTGCTCCGAATGACTTGCAAGGTGGGGTATTTTGTACTGAATTTGAAAAATGTTTTATATTATAGGTCTGGACAATGTGTGATATTGTCAACATCGCATGTTATCCACATGTGATTTTCCACATTGCTAGTTAGCTAGATTAGTGTTTGTGAGAAATTTATTAGCTCCTTTTTGCTTTATAAATACCCCAATATTTTTTACAACAAAATCACATCGCTATATGCGTGCTCTCCTAATAAATTAAACAAAATACTTTAATTTCTTATCACACCATCCTAATCTGTGTTGTATCTGTTCTTCCGACCAGATCGCAAATTTATTTTATTTTTTTTACTTTATCGTTGTTTTCTGAGTTTGCAACTTTTTTTCAAGAATGCTGTTGTATTGAATTTCAGAGGCAGGCTATTTGCATAACCAAATTGACAATGGAAGTAATTCAAGTCCCACCCTAGAGTACCGAAGTACCAAAATACCCCAGCTGGTTTGGCACTTTTAGTACTGGAACTCAACTAGATGTCAATGGAAAAGTGAAAGTACGGTACTTGGTGTGGTGGAAAAACATCCAAATACTACACATTTTTGCTCCCTCTATTGGGAGCTCAGAGGGAGCAAAAAAGTGGACCGCCTGTAGGTCCCTGGGTGTCTGGTTTGGGAAACACTGAGCTACACCCAGGATCTCTGAATGGTGGTGAAGTGCCAGGAAACCCCACACATTCCCCCTTAACAGCCTCTGATTGGTCACCTTTATTGTCAGTCATCTTACAGGACTGCCAGGATTGGTGCCAACCTCACCCAGACTTTTTTTCCTTCTCTGATGATTTCAATTGTAGCTGCTTTGGAAGCCGTCACATGACCTCCATCACCTCACTTGTCCGCAATTCTGCCGGCCTACTTCATACAGACCCCAAACCACTGACACGCCACGTGAATCCATATGAGGTCATCCTATTCAACACATACGTGTTTATTCTCCCTCGGATTTCCAACGGAGGGAAAAAAATATATATTTCTTTGGAAAACAAATGCATCCTTTATGTCCTGTAAAGAGAACAAAGAAAGTTCTCTCAGCTCCACAATAAACAAAAGAGACCCAAGGCATCTTGGGAGTCCGCTCCAGCTTGGCCATTTAAATTCCAGAACTCGCCGCATCGCAGGTCGCACATCCCACCAATGGCAAAGACAGAGGAGCCGCAGAGATTTACACCACCTATATTCCCCAGTCCTGAGCCCCCACCCCCCGTAGCCCCTAAAGCCGCAAGATCTTGACGCAAGAGGCACGGACGCTTTCTCATTCGATACACCAATCAGAGTTCTCCATGAATGACATGATCTGAAGCCCGCCCTCCATTTAATATACGTCACCGTCCTTCTGCAATGACCAAATAAAAAAAAAAGCTCATAACTCAAAAATGAAGGTGTAATGAAAGAGGTTATTTTTCTTTATTTGTATTTATGAGCAGACATAAACGTGGTCGTCAGTGTGGATATCAGGCTTACGGCCCGAGTGTGAGATACAGCGGGACGGGAGGCAGGAAGCAGGTGGCCATGCCGCCGTCGGGCTGGTAAAATGAGGATTTTATTGGTAAAGTCTCAGTACATCTTCATCGCCTTCCCTCCACTGTTACAAAAAGACACTAAAATCGAAACATTTTCAAATGGTATAAAAGTAGCAAATACAAGAATGTGGGGCATCGCTGTCTGAGAGACCCTTTGCGAACGGAGGAAGGGACTCAAGACAGAAAGCATAACACACGCTAAAATAACAATAAATAAATACATACAGAATGTGGCTATTTACACTGTGTAATAATTCATAATACAATGCTCATCTTCATAGTGAATATACATATATTGGATGCCAGTCATTTACAAGAGCGAACGATGCAATATGTCACAGAGATATGGCTACCCCCAGAGGCTTTCACAACCCTCTATTTTGCAAATTTCGCCAAAATTACTGCATGATTTTTTTTTTTCTGCAAACAGGTGGGTTCTTTGGTGGTGCTGGGGCTTCTTAACAGCCTCTGATTGGTCGCCTCTACTGTAAGTCAACTGACATGACAGCCAGTAGATTATACATCCCAAACAGCAGGCTGGTCCATCACCATTTTAACATTAAAAAAAAAAAAAAAAGGCAGAGAGGCAGTGGAGCCAGTTTCTTACGTAAACACAGAACGCCCCAGCCCTGGCCCCTGACATGCCACAACGTTCTGCAGGACCCCGCGGACAGCATGAGCAGCATCGCTGCTAGGATAGCGAATGAGAGAAGGCGCTAGCGCCAGCGCCCTCTCTCTCCGCCCCCCCCCCCCACCTCACGGTTCTGCATGAAATGCCACACGTCCACAGGAAGTCGACCTCCAGCAGGAAATATAGATGTGACAGGCGGCTGGCGATTGGAGGGGGGAGGCGGAATCGCCACAGGAGCATCCAGAGGCAGTAACAAACTACATAAACAAACTACATAAACGTGGGGCGATAAGCGAACCCAGCTGAAGGGAGTCAGGCAGTTTGGTGGGCTGCAGATACCAAACAGGGCCATCCTCAGACAAGGACGACTGCCCAGTGACACTCTGTCCTCGTATCGGTCTACGCTGAGTGACAGCTTTGGGGAGTCTGTCCCAGGAGTGCGACTGGCGTTCTCATAACAGCGGACAGAGCTCTCCTCAACAATGGCCAGAACGGACTGAGTGTCATAGCTGTGTCCCGCTTGTGACTACGAGGGATTCTACGCCATCGCTGCCAAGGTAGCTGGTGGGTACAAATAAAAAAATATAAATCGCCTCAATCTGTCTCTTTAGCCTGAGGTAGGCCCAGAAATTGCAAGCAACTTTCTGGTGCTCCAGCAGTTCCTGTGCCTCACCTTGATGTGGCGATGCAGGTCTTCAGGGTGCATTTAAAACCTGCGCCGATGTGTAGGGCAAGCATGCGGCTGCGTGTGAGCATGTCGGGGGGGGGGATGGGTCACCTTGCATGTGCAGACACATACGATCCGAGTAATCCGGACGGCCTATGATGTTGCCATCACCGGCCCCTCCTTCCCAGGGGTCTGTAGGTCGCAGGGGGCCAGGCGACGGATGCTACACCAGACCTGCACCTACAGACCCAACCACGCATGCAAAAAAATCTCTGAAGCCTCCCCTCACCCCCACCCTTCCAGACCTCCCGCATCTCAGTCCCAGCCGTTGTCCTTGATCATGTGGGCCAGTTCGATGATGAACTTCCCCTCCTTGTATTTCTGACTGCTCTCGAAAGCGTGCTCCTGCAGACAGGAACATATGACACAAATCCATCACATGCGAAAAGATCAGTCAGTGCAAAACCCCGGTAAAAGGGCGAAACACGACAGGCCCCAAGTTTGCACGTCTCCCACACTAAGACCTGCAGCACAGGAGCAAATTTCAGTCGCGCTTCGCATAGAGGAATCCATCAATAAACAACTCATCTGCTACCGCATGTGTAAGGAAGACAGTTAACCTGCCTGTTTGGCAAATAAAAGCGTCGGAACTTTTTATAGAGTGCATAGGCTCATCTTTCTAGCACCATAAATGGAACGCGGCATGATGTGACGCCACTGCAATTCACAGCTGATATAAACTAGAACTTCACCAGGTCAGCGGCTCTGGCACCCTGACAATGGCCACGCTGGAGATATTAAAAGCCTGCGCAGATGGCAATGCCATCTATAATCCTCAATGAAAGGCATGTTAGACAAGATCTAAGCTTGCCAGCTCACTGCCTCAGTTCTTCTACAGACGTTTGTTTGCAAGTCTAACAAATACTATAATAAAGTTGAAGCAATATGTATGGCTTGAAATTGATACATTTTAATGTTCATCCACAAGTTCTTTGAACCAGGAATTAAGCCAGAGGTGGATAGTTGAGGTCCAGAAAATAAAAACCCAGACCAAGATTTAGTTTCAAATCAACCAGTTGAGTATAAAGAGTCACAGTCACAGAGTACTCAGCTGGTTGGTTGAAACGAAATCTCGGTCTGGGTTTTTACTATCTGGACCGATATTATCTGCCTCTGGGTAAAGCTGGCGTTTCATTCAGGCCACTGTGGAAGGTGTATGCGTGCTGGCAGAGATACGGGTTTTAAGCACTGCATGAGACAGCGTTAGTGTCATACCTAGTGGGTTAAACCATGACTGACCGCACTTTAAGTTCCTACTTACAACACATCTCAGATAGGAGTCTGATACGTAGTTAATCTGATCCCCTATGAATATTACACTAATATTAAACATAAGACATTTTAGGATGATCTCCTTCCATCTCCTGGAGCTCTGGGGAGTGATGCAGCCTACAGCTTGTGTTTTAGCCCTTTTCTTCCCATCGATGTACCCGGAAGTACAAGTAAGGCCTGAGCAGAACAGGCAAGCTTCCATGCATTCAGGTCATAAATGTGAACCGACGCACGGATCCGACGACATGCGACTCCCTTACTGCACCGTGACCGGAGGGCCGGAGGAAATGCCACACTCGTCCCCAGTCCCGCCAGCGTGGCCACTCACATATTTCCAGCCCAGTGTGGTTTTGCAGTTCTCGCAGTAGATGTCGGCGACGGCGTGAAGGCCCGTCAGCAGCACCCGCTCCTCTGCCGGACCGCAGCCAACGTTGACCCTGCAGAAGCAAGGAGACACAGAGGGCGTGATGGAGACGGGGGACGGGGGGGGGGCATCGTCAGCCGAAGCCGGCGCCACCTTCGCACTCTCCTTCCCGTCCACCAGCCTGTCAGAATACTTACATTCAAATTCTAAACTATGAAGTTTACTCAATGAACCCATTCTGTCACGGATATCCATCACATCCCCACTTCTCCGATCATTGTATTTATCCATTTTAAATTTGCACACTATTACAATGCTGCATGTCACTACAGGATCTGAATCAACAATGGATCCAAGTCAAACAGTTTAATACTTTCTCACGGTTAAGTAATAAAAGACTTTAGACCATTTGCCAAACCTGCACCATTACCAATTATAGAAAGTTAAGGCCCATCTCATGTATTTACATATTTTTTTATAAAATGGCTGATTACTTTTGTCTGTATTGATGTTGGTAGAGCCCCTCGCAGGAATTGGACCTCTATATGTTTTTTGTATTCGGATTGCTTTCAGTTAAAGTTGCTTTTGAATGTGCTTTTCAAATCGCCAAGTGATGAGACAGTGATTTAAAAATTTTTATCACATCACACCAGTCTTATCCTCCCTTCATTGGTTACCAGTTAAGTCTTGGATTGACTTTAAAATACTGCTGTTAACCTATAAAGCACTGAATGGCCTTGCACCAGACTACCTTAATAATCTGCTGACCACATACAATCCCCCACGCTT